CCCCTTTTCCGCTTCATACTCACTTTAAAACCCGCTCCCAATAAAATCCGGGCCGGCCGGAATCGGATTAAAAACCCCACGAACGCTGGTGCTGGCGGCCCTGGGCTGCTCCCGCACCGGCCCCGCCGCCACCTCCTCCTCCCCCCGAGACACGTACTCTCCGGCCCGCAGCTCTCACGCGTGGCCGCCTTTATACCGCCGGAGCCTCCGACACACGGCAACAAGGTGCCTCCCGGTTGGCTGCCTCGGCCTGTCACTCGCGACGTCCGGCGGCTCCCGTTGGCTCTGCACCCCGCCGGGGGCGGGCCGGGTCTCGCGCGCGGCCAATGGCGGCCGCGCTGGGGAGGGAGCGCGGCCTCGCGCCTCTCGCCTCAGCGCTGAGGGAAGGGCCTGGGCCGGCCCGCGGGCGCGCGTCGCGTTACCGCCGCCGCGGGAGCCCCGGGGCCGCCTCCCCCGGCACCGCCGCCCTTGTCCGCGGCCGGCCCCGGCCCCTCAGGCGGTCCCGCCCCCTCGAGGTGCCTCGCGGAAGGCGATGGCGGCTGCTCCCGCTTCCAAAGCGGCGCAGCTTCGTCGCCCACCCCGGCGAGGAGCCGCCGTGCGGCCGGGGTGGCGGTTCCGGGAGCCCCGGAGTCTCCTCGGTGACCGTCGGGGCCCGGTGTTTGCGCAGGGAGCCGCGCTGGGCCTGGCGCGCACCCGCTCCCGCGCCGGAGCTGGGCGCAACGTTTCCAGCCCTGCCGGTTCTGCAGCCCGGAGCGGCGGAACGTGGCATTGTTTTTAATGGAAGCCCGCGCCCGCCTCTTACATAACGCCGGGAGCCCTGCGCGGCTGCTGGGTCGCGGTTGCGCTCGCCCAAGGATATATCGGCCGTGTTGGTGGAGCCGTGTTACGGCGAGCGCGGCGGACAGGCAGTGTAATCATGCTCGAAATTCTTGAGCGACTTACTATTCCAAACACCCCACTTAGCCATGGACACAGAGTGCATCCCCGCGCCTTTTTAACAAGGTTGAGCTCTTCGCCGGTAGGTAAAAAGTGCCAATTATTACCTAACTTTGTGTAGTAATTAACACATATTATTTGCTTGCTCCACCCTCTGGCAAGTATCTCCTCTGGCTCCACTGGAGCGTTTGCACCCGCTATTGCAATTCAGGAAGAGCGCACATGGCGACGGCGGAATGAAAATAAACAGGGGTGCTGTGTTTTGTTGTTTAATAATCGGGCCTGGGATCCAGGTTGTCCTTGAGCAAACTGCCTTCATGGCACTTTTTATTCTCTACTGGGTTCATTTGCTTAAGTAGCAACTTGGAGAAACTAAAATAGAAGACATTATAGTTGGTTTTGTAAGCACGGCAGTATAACAAGCAGCATATTAAATATGAATGCGAAAGCTATGTGGCTTGTTCAGATTAAAGGCATAATCCCCCCTGCTTTTCTTTAAGTAAAAACATATCATGGATTGAGGCTATAAGACCGTTAAGTTTTTTAAAGGGGAAAACTTAGTTTTGTGAGAGTGTATGAAAAAAATAGCCTCAGCTCTTCCCACAACAGCCAAGAATTTGAAGCCACTCTTTTTTTGGTCCTTGTGGTACATGCCATGAGCATCATTTTAACTGGACCAAGCTGAGCTTTCTGCTTTGATTGCCATGCACATGTGCAGCAAGACTCTGTAATATTTGTTACTGGAATTGGAACTATTTTAATTTCTCGACTTTAAATCCCCAGAGATATTGGCTGTTTACCTGTTTACCCTTCCCCCCCCCCCTTTTTTTTTTTTTTTTTTGCTGCTCACAAACATGGAAAAAAAAGCTTATTTGGTGTTAATCAATATGTGACATGTTAACTGCTGAGAGAAAGGGGTAGAGTTTGTTATTTGTTTAATCCTGGCATTAGGGTGATTATTCACAATGATGATTGACTTTGAGCTGTGTGTGGATTTCAGGATCTTGGGCCCAGTTTTGCCGTTCTGCCAAACTTACATATTCCGAGCCCTGCCCTTACTCTCTGGTCACGCTGCCTTTAAACCATTGGGGTCTTTATTACCTCTGGTAAAATGCCATATAAAAGCTCTGTATGTGTTTATTCATACATTCACTTACTCAGACTCCAAGTGTATAGAAAAAAAAAACAACACCTTTTGTGTTGTATGTAGTTACCTTGGAAGGGGAACGAAGATAAGTTCACAGGCATTCAAGAGGAGCTCATCCTGAGCAACACTGGGATAGAGCATGAAGGTATTTGTCTGGAAATGCGGTTATGGCATTTGATTGTACCCACTGATGGAAACAGGAGTATCTTTCACTGTTAAACCAAAGGTAAGGAGCACTGGAACAGCGTGAATGGGCAGGCGATTGCAGACTAACAGTTGTGTGTGTGATAGAGAGAGCCCTGCCTTGGGAGAGATTCTGGAAAGATGCAGAGAAGTGACATAGTTCAACCAGTGAACTAAGAGAATAGTTTTGCATAAGCTTTCTCAATGGAAGTGAATGTTTTATTTGCTGGGGCCAGAGGAAAGGATGTGGGCACTCACTGAGATGATGAGAACTTGAACAAGAGTCCCAGCCATGTCAATAAATAACAGAAATCACAGCTTGGCTTGCAGTTCCGCAGCAGTTGAGACCGATGTGAGTGCAAACCCCGCATTCCTGGCTGTGAGGTGCCTCCCACTCCTTTGCATAGTGGGTTGGTAAGCTGACTCAAAAAGAAAAAAAAAAGGTGGTTGGTTTTCAGTCAGATCATCAGTCTTAACAAGCTCATTACCAAGACTTCAATTGCAATGGAGACAACAGAAGCTTAAGAGAAGACGCTAATGTGAAGTAATCACGTCTGCATTTGCCGATTAGGATTTTGAGCCATGAGCTAGATGGGAAGGGAGGAGAGAATCAAGAATCGAGCTCATGAGCCCTCTGGCACCGAATGGAAAGAAAAGGAAGAGGAGGTGCTGACAAGCCAAGGTGGACCAGTAGCTGGGGAAGAAATGAGAGGTGAGAATAACTGCAAAAATTAGGAGAGGAAGATAGCTGATTATGTGAGCAGCGACTGAAAAAGGCAGAGAAAAGCTGGCTTAGAGTTGAGAACTTTTCCAGATGACTGGAGTTGAGAACTTTTCCAGAAGATAGAGGAAATAAAATCAGATTCAGAGAGTTTTAAGGTGCAGCTGGAAGAGAGATGTGACTGGAAGATTGGTAAAAGTAAGATGCAAAGACACTTTTGGCCAGAGCTTTTTAATTCTTTTTTCCTCCTCCTATCAATGTGGAAGAGACCAAAACATACCTGTGTGGATGCTGGAGTGATCAGAGAGGAAATGAAATGCCGTGAAGTTAAAAGGGCAAGTGGTGGCATTACACATGGAGTTTAAATAAGACTTTATTTGCTACTTAGGGAAAGAGGAAGCACCAAGAGAATGCTTTGTTAGTTTTATCTTTAGAGAAACCGTCGAGATAGAGAATATAGGAAAACAGAAAGGAAAGCTTGGCAGGGTTGGCCCAGAGCAGTGAGAAACTAGCTAGGATTACAAGTGTGCAGTTAAGCTGGAGAAGTAGAAGCCTTCACAAGAAGGCAGAAGTGGAGCAGAAAGCAGCCTAGCTGTAGAGGAAGTCAGTTTGATCACGGGATTTCCGCCAGAGACACTTCACACTGCAAAAGCAAGCGTGGACGAAGTGAGTGCTGAAGGTAAGCCAGGATTGTGGGTAGGTAGGGCACAATTCGCCCTAAGACAGAAGCAAAGAAATCGCTGGTGGAAGAAAGCTGTATGTGTGGCAAACACATAGTGAGCCAGTCATTTCTAAAGCAAATAAATGCTTATGGTACTTGACATCAAAGAGGGAAAAAAAGTTGAAAGTCATGTAAGCTTCACTTTTAATCAACACAAACCAGTCATTATTTTCTTAGCTTTTCTTTACTGTTATTTTCTCTCATTTTCTCTCATGCAAGGCTATTTTACCTAATTCTGTTCTTTGGCTTTCTTTTGTTTGTTTCAAAAATAACAGACTACAGGTATTTAATTTCTTCACCTTCTTACACAAGTAGAATACAAAGTCATCAAATGTTACTTTTTTCATTTTAAAAAGTATGCTTATCTTTTGTTACTGGAATGCAAAGGCACCTGCAGCCAGAATCTTTCAGTGGTATTATACTCTGTGCCAGCTAAAAATATGCAAGGCAACTAAGGCTTGTTAAACCTCTTAACAGATAAGATACAACAGCAAAGCTGTGCCCAGGAAAGTATTCAGAGTTGCGACCGATGTTTGTTGCATCAAGTTAAGGCAAGGGGAGACCAAAATTGTCCTCACAAAGTCACATCCTTGGCCTTCTGCAGTTACAGAGGATGTTTCTGGCCAGCTTTCAGGAATCAGAAATGTCTTTTCAAATGCTAAAATGATAATATGCATCTGATCACATTTACACAGGATTGAAAGGCTGGGTTAGAGCAAACCTTTGAGCTTCTACTGCTGTAGAATGATCCATCTTTGTTAGTAACACTATTTTCTCTCAGAGTGTGAGGCCACTTTAAATGTCTAAGTGTGTATTATTAAAACATCGTGGGAAGCGTAGCAGGAGGAAACCCAGGGTAATTGGCTGGAGCTTCAGATGCAGCGGGCTGCTCATTGGAGAGCCAGGGATTCTCCGAGATACTAAAATTAGACAATCTCCACCCTCTAGAAATGCTTCTGGAAACAGCGAGGAGGAGAAATTCTGACACAGAAACATGTCCCGGGGAAGGGAGGGGAGAAGGAGGGAAGTCTGCAGGACCCCGCTCATGGCACAGAAGGATGCAAACGTTTTTTATATCTGGTAATTAGAAAATAATGCAAATAATAATAATAAATAAAAGATTGCAATGTTAGCAATGTTTTACAAGAGAAATTATTTTCGTCAGTTCTTATGTAATCATTTTAAACAACTCGGTGATGCTGAGGAGGCCTTTGCACATCAGTCTAAGGTAGGGCTGTGAGACTTGTGTTTATTTATGCTGAAAAGGAAAGACTTTTGCCAGATTAGCCCTGAAATAAACTAAAAAACCAGGTGACTACCCAAATCCTACCAGCCTATCTGTAATACAGCATTTTAACCTGCTATTTGTGTGTAGCTGCTGTAGTTATAATGTCTTCAAATTAAATATTAGGTAAGATGTCCTTGCTAAAGAAACCAATGCCAGACACCTATACTAATGAAGGAAAGCCTGTACATGAATTAGTCAAGTGTATTTTTCCTCTTGGAACTTGGAAGTGTGTATGGAGGGGGGCAGCGTTCCTTTAATACAAAAACCATCTTTTTTCGTTGCTGTGTTTTTTAAAGAATGTCTATCCTGCATGTATTTTATTTGGCTTCACAAAAAAAAAAAAAAAAAAAAGCCTCTATAACTTTATTATCCATCTCTTTCTACCAGTCTTAAGGACTTAAGTCCTTGGCTCTAGGACGCCTTGGCTCCTTTCGCCCGAGTTTGACAGAGCGACTGAGCTCCCGACGTGCCGGTGCCCGTCATTTTTGAGCAGGGGTCATGAGGCCTGCGACACGAGCAGGGCGGCGGCGGCGGCCCCGGCGTTATCTGCGCGCTCGGCCGCTGCACACCCAGCGCGGCGGGGCCATGACGGGGCCGCGGCAGCCGCCGCCTCACGCCCCGCGCCGCAAGCGGCAACGCTGGGCCCCCCAGGACGTTGGGAGGGCAGAGGGTGGCCTCGCCGCCCTGCTGCGCGAGCATCTCGTTACGTTTCGGTAGTTCTGGCAGCAGCGGCTCCCGTCATCTGCAGACGTTCCCGTTCGCGGTGCGGGTCAGGCAGCGCTGCGCAGACACTGCCATTCAATTAAAGCTCAGGAAAACGCGGCTAAAGGATTTTAGGCTTTGGTTATGATGTCTGGCATGGCCCTGGAAGGCTGTGTACTGTAAACTCCCACTCCTACATGAGGTGTTTGGGCATATAAACAGGAAAGGGTTTTGTGCACACTCCCGGGCTAAATGTTAATAAATAACTTGAACAAGGGCTTGTGTGCTGAGCAGCTTTTATTTTTTTTCCCTCCCTCTCCAACGATATCACTTAGTCCAATAAACAATAAACACCAATGCCAGTCTTTAAATTAGCCTGGTTTAAAATCGCCCCCCCCACACACAAGCTGACAGCTCTTGAACGTCCCAGAGAGAGCAGCAGACTGGAGAACCTTCTCAATCGCATTCCTCCCTCGCTGCGGCTCTAATTACCCAAAGTGCTAATGAACTGCAAGACACGGCCCTTAAGCACCAGCAGCGGAAACCCCGGCCTGTGCTCAGCGTTTGCGAGCGACCCCAGGGCTCCTGCCGCCGCTCCTCGGCCGCCATTTTGACCCTCCTCGTTCCCGTCCCGCGGCAGCGGCGCGCGGGCGCCATCTTGTGGCCGTCGGGGCGCGGCGCCGGCCGCCGCAGTCTCCTAGCAACGGAGGTGCGTGTCATGGCGGCGGGAAAGGCCCGCGGGAGGGCGGAGGCGGCGGCGCGGGGCAGAGCGGGTTGGGGGGAGCTCGGCTCCGAGCCGGGGGGAGGAACGAGCCGCCCTCTCGGTGCTCACCCAGGGCTGGCACTGCCGGGCTGTCCCCCTGCGCGGCTACTCCGAACTCTGCCGGCCATCGGTCTGTGTGAGCAGCCGGGGTGCTGGCGCCTGCCCCCAGCTCTGCCAGAGCAACGAACTCCCTCGGGGGCTTTTGGGGCAGCCACGGGGCTTATCACCGTTATAGCGTGAGCCAGGCTTCCCTCGGTTGTTGTTAGCAGGGCTAACAACGATAACAACAACAATAATAACAGTAGACAGCGTTGCTGCACTGCAGAAGGAAACGTTGCAGATGGAACGGCCATAACCTGATCCTCCCCTAGGGCACGCAGTAAATGTCCCCCTGCCTTACCGTGCACTCAGACAAATGCCAAGTGTCACGAACTGATATCGTCACAGGACAAGAGAGGCACTGGAACTGCAGCCACGAGCCAAGATGCAGCCGTTAATGCCCGAGCCTCCGATTCCCGTGGAGAAAACCCTAGCCCTCATCAAGCCAGATGTCTGTGATAAAGAAGAAGAGATTGAGGATATCATTCTGCGATCAGGATTCCTGGTTGTTCAGGTAACAGGCTGTGTTGCGAATAAAACAATTGCCGTTCATTAGGCAGAACAACATGTAGCCTACCTGCCAGCTGTGAAGCTAGTAAATACAGGATAACATCTCCCTTTTTTTTTTTCCCCTTATGCCCAGCCAGCACTGCCAGATCCTACCAGGATGTATTTTGCTGCAAATGTATGAGGGAGCAGAATGTATGGATAACATAATGGCTGTTATGCTGACCACGGGGAAACAGATGTTCATATTTGCATAGGAAGCCTATGTAGCAGCTAATCTCGGCTTCCCGGAGTAGCTGTGGAGAGCCTCGCTTTCCAGTGTCAGGGGAGGTTCATACGCGTTAGCCAAGTGGGTACTGCCGGAATTAATGGAATCCGACACCTCTGGCATGGTTTCAAGGATTTCCTATGTTTCCCATTTTTGTTAAGGGGGAAAAAAATCTCTAGCGTGGGAATGGGCTCTTCCAAGTTGTCTTTTAAGGATCTTTAGGCAGCGTTAGGAGCAACCCGCGGGCGGGGGGGGGCCGCGCTGCCGCCGGGGGGCGCCGTCCCACAGCGGTGCTGAGGCGGCCGGGACCGCCCGCCTTCCTCCCCTTCCTCCCCTTCCTCCCCTTCCTCCTCCTCCTCCTCCTCTTCTTTCTCCTACTCTTCCTGCTGCGACGCTGGCACCTCCTGCAGCGTCCTTGGCAGCCTGTGATGCTGGGGAGGAGCCTTTCAGTGAGGGAGGCCTGGCCTTATATGTACACATACATACACGTATATATACACACATATATGTATATATATGTTCATCAATATATACACATACACATGTATATACACATACATATATACACATATGCACAGAAGGCAGATGTATGGGCATAAATATGTATGTGCATACATATAAACACATACATAAGCACACATACTATATATGTATCGACACATACAAGTATAGACACATAAATGCATATATGTGTATATGAAAATGAAAATTCATATATAATATATATAAAATAGTGTATGTGCATATATATGTATGTATAATAAATGTTTTCAAATTTCTGTGAAAATTTTTCAAAATTTTGTGAGTTTTGTGAGTCCCATTTTCACACCCATCTTTTTACCCACCCCTCTTCCCTGACTTTTTTTATTTGTAGGAAATGCATCAGAATTGCCTCCAAGAGAAGATGCAAAAATGTTTATAGTGGCTTCTGGTGTTACTGATCATTTTAGCACTGAAATTGCTGAGCATTGAATGTGTCTCAAGGACAGAGCTTTAATCTTTAATGTTAATCTTTAGTCTTATTTTTTTTCCCCACAATGCTGTTAAAACAGCTCACCACACTTGCCCTAATCGTGGCACCCTGCAGGCTAGATAGCTGCTCTGAAAATTGTAAAGTATAAGTGTGTTGAATGAAAAATAAAATAGTTGCATAATTAATGCTGTGGGTTAAAGAGAAAATTGTCTAAAAGTGGAACATGGTGCTGGAGCAGCCAAGTAAGTAAATACTAACCTTGCAGGGCCTTTGCCTTCTATACTGTTCCCTGGCTATATGTTAAGTCACCTTGTTGTTTTAGATCAAGTGATTTTTGTAGAATAGGGACTAAAATGGTATCTTATTCAAAGGTGCTTAATTTCTTTTCTGTTTTTTTTCTTTAAACACTATAGAAACGGAAGCTCCAACTAAGCCCAGAACAATGTAGCAACTTTTATGCAGACCAATATGGAAAAATGTTTTTTCCCAATTTAACAGCTTATATGAGTTCTGGACCTTTAGTTGCTATGGTTCTGGCTAGACATAATGCAATCTCGTACTGGAAGGAGCTGCTTGGACCATCAAACAGCATAAAAGCTAGGGAAACTCACCCTGACAGGTAACTCACTCACTGAGGTCAGTGGGATTTTGTAATTTTTTTTTTTTTAATTAAGACCAGGATTTTTCTCTCTCTTTTTATTTTTTTTCTCCATACAGTAAAAATGCAGATCTGTGATGGCCTCTTAGCTCTTAGAAATTCTGTGTAAGAGCTTGTTACCATTGTTTTTTAAGTACATAAATTTAACTTATTTTACAGAGAATGCTGAGTGCATGAATACAAATTTTAGTTAGCAGCTTATTTTGTTGAAAGCAAAAGCATCAAGCCAATGTCTTCTTAATTAGTACATATGTATTGCTTTCATATGGTCTTGGACTGTAGAGACTAGAAAGGGATTTGCAGCTGCCTGCCAAACATTTCTTTCTCTTGCTTTTAGTTTAAGAGCAATCTATGGGACTGATGATCTGAGGAATGCGCTTCATGGCAGTCATAACTTTTCATCAGCAGAAAAAGAAATTCGATTCATGTTTCCAGAAGGTAAAATGCTATAACTAATATAATGCCAGTCTTTGGGGAGATAGTGTCTTTCCCAGGTATTACCTGTCTCTCTGGATACAATTGGCTTTAGAACGGGTTGGTTTTATTAACTTAAAAATAATGTTAATCTCTTTCCATTTAAGTTTCCATTTAAGTCAAGCTGGACTTGACATGAGACTTTGAGGCTGTTCAGAAATTGGCCTTACACTATTATAAAAAGCATGAACATGGGACATGACATGAATATGAACATCCCTTACCCCCAGTAGATCTTCCAAGGATGTAGATGTTTCCCTGGATGGTCTGATTTCCTTACTTTTTATAATCAGTCATAATTAATGATTACCTCAGGGACATTGTAAAGGTGTTAAAGTAAGGTTATTTTTCCATTTGTTGTGGGAGGAGCTATACAAGCCATTACATATTATTAACATCAAGGTAAATGTAGACTCTTACATAAACAACACACACTTCCAAGTTGTTTCCAGTACCTATGATTATTCCTTACAGCGATCCTAGAGCCGATTCCAACTCGACAAGCAGCTGTGGATTACTTGAACCTCTATGTAAATCCTACTCTACTAGCTGGGCTCACGGCCCTTTGTAAAGAGAAGCCAGCAGATCCAATGGTACGTACAGTATAGCAGTATTGTGTTGAATACCTGTGATACGTGTACTTCATATTCAAGGTCCTCATTTATAGAAGAGCTGCTGTTTTCCTTTTTCCTTTTTCCTTTTTCCCCTTTTTTTTCTATTTTCCCTTTTTCTTTTTTCTTTTCCTTCCTTTTTTTTTCTTTCTTTTCTTCTCCCTTTTTCTTTTTTTTCCCTTATTTTCCCTTTTTTTCTTTCTTTTTTCCCACCTTTTTTTTTTTTTTCCGCCCTTTTTATTAGATGCCCAGCTATGCTGTTTTATTTACCTGCTAATAAGTTAGGCACAATAACTTCTGCCTTCCAAGATGTTGACAGGTTACTTAATAGATAAAATGAAGATAAGGATTAAACTAAATCAGCTTTGATGAAATGACAGGTGTTTTTAGAGGACTACTGTAAAAATGTTTCTAACACGTAGTTGTAGACAGGTGCTTTCATGTGATGTCAAATATCAGTCTTAATTTATTGTTTCTAAGGTTTGAGGTGAAATAGCTCAGATGCAGTAGATATTAAATGAAATTAGATGATAATCACTCTGAAAGTGGCTACATAGTTGAGTAAAACATTCTGGTGTTCTTAGCAAGGCTGTCTGTATTATTGTGTTTGTTTAATGTAGTGATATCAATTTAATCCTTCTTTAGGATAAGGAAGTATTTCAGCTGTACATGCATTAGTTAGCATTTCCTTGGGCTGCAGTTCACCAGCAGAGCAATGCTGCTTCTGAGTGAAATGGAGTGTTCTTTGAGTCAAATTACCACATTCACCTACAGAAAATCTTGTGACCCCTTTCTGGTTGCTCAAGCTGATGCTTCTTGCTCTCCTCTCACAAACTACTGTTTTTTTAACTGTGGATCTCATCCAAATTGCAGTTCTGTGATTAGTCTACAATTCTGCAGTCTGCAGACAAATTTCTGCCCTCCACCTTTTTGTTTTTTTTCCCCTTCTCCTAAGCAAAAACTTTTATTTGTCCTAAACAGAATTAATTTTCTTTAGTCTGGAAATAAAATAGAGTAAGTGCTTTTTGCCTTCTCAAAGTTCAGTCATTCACACTAACACCCTTTGAGAATGTGGATAATTAGTCAGTGTGACAACTTACTGGCAGTTGTGGTGGATTCTACATCATTATCAGTTTCTTAATCAAGATTGCATTCTTCTAAAAGATACATTTCAGAAGAAGAAGACTTAAAATAATTCAGAGACCTATCTGTGGCCTGTGTGATATACATGAGGTCAGATGAAATGTTCTGTGATTGTTCTTGTTTTATAATCCTTTTACTTTATTTGTATGTCTGCCACTGTTACTATAGGCATCTGAAAAAGAGGTTCCCAAAGAAGTCATTTCATGGCCTGTGTGCCCAAAGGCCAGAGCAGTTGTACCCATCCATTCCTGACAAATGTTTGTCTGCACGGGTCTGTAGCAGAATCTCCAGTCTCCCTAGGCAATCTGTTTCAGTGCTTAATTGTACTTAGCTGAAAAGCTTTCCCTAAAATTTAGCCTATGTCTGCTTGGCTCCATTTTTAAACATTTTTTCTTCTTTTATTTTTCTTTTAAAGCCCTTTCCAGAGGACATTAGAGCTAATGTAAATCTCCCCTTTTGCAGCAACCTATTGTGTATTTGAAATGTTACCATCTTTTTCCTGTGTATCATCTCTTCACTGTCCAAAACAGAGATTTTTTTTCCCTGTCATGCCAACTTGACATTTTCTAACCCTTTGACTGTTTTGTTTCTAACTAATCCCTACACCCTGAACACAGTTTTCTAGACAGTTATGTAATAACTTATGGTAGTTTCATCTAGACCATGTATCCCTTCCTCGTAAGAATGTCACCTGAAGCTGTGTCAATAGATGCCTTCCCTGTCCATAGCCTGTGACCCTGTCACACAAGGAAATCAAAGTAGAATTGATATGATTGTTTTTGACAAATACGTATTGGCTATTGTTTAACAGTACAAACTGTTGATGGGCTTATTTTTTCCTAGTATTGTGCCTGGAACTGAAGTTGGCTGATGGGGTTTTCCTTCCTTCCTTCCTTCCTTCCTTCCTTCCTTCCTTCCTTCCTTCCTTCCTTCCTTCCTTCCTTCCTTCCTTCCTTCCTTCCTTCCTTCCTTC